TCCATCGTCTCGGCGCCCATGTCGAACATCTTGTGCACCTCCTCGTCCACACCGTGATTCTTCAAACTGCGAGGGGAAAGGCGGTCGAGGGGGGGGGGGCGTCCAGCCATGCTGAAAATGCTCATGGAGATACATACTACCAGAAGCCAAGCTCAGTGGCGGCCTTCCACAGCTGTGCAATCTCGTCCTTGTCGTAGGCCTTGATGAGCTCGTAGTCGATGACAAGGAGCGGGTGGGTCGGGACGTTGTCGGGGAAAGGGGGGAAAGCAGTGATTCCAGGCATGTCGAGGTAATTGAGTCTGTTGAGCGTGAGTCGATTGCAGGAGCAGGTGTGTAGTAGCAGTGTATTGGAGCTCTGAGACAGTAAGATGAATCCAATTTATGGGGGTGTCCGGTGACGGCGACGTCCCGAACGTTGCTTCTTGCTGGGATGCATACACAGACGAACTACGCGGTGACGGTCGCACTGAACATAGCTCACGTGTCGGACGCACGATGACGGCCGTTCTCAAGTGGGGTTCTGTGCGTCAAGAAGCGCCGTCCGGACGGGCCGCAAAAGGAAGTTGTGGAAACTGGGTTAGGTGCGAGAGAAGTCGATGCGCCCGACATCGGACGGGAGTCGCGAAGAACCAGAGGACGCGTGAATGCGCTTAAAATTCAAATAGAGACACTTGCCAGGGCAAACATAAAAGTCGTGACATGACAGTCGGGCCCTGCAAACGAGTCGGAACGCCGTCTGTAGGCATCTGGCGGCGAGTGTCACACGGTGTCGTGAAACGGACCGCCTCGCTACGCAGGAGCACCTTGCGAAGCTTGGTCTGTCGTTCCGCTGCGAGGAGCTTTTCAGGGTCCCCGAGCAGTCCCTCGAGCGGCGCTGCGTTATCAAGTCAGCTCAGTTACGGGTCTCAAGGTGAAGACCACCAATGCCTTCACATACCTATGCGTCCAGCTAAGTAACGAGCACTCTGGAGCATGTACGCGAAAGCACAGATGGAGCAAGTCGAAGTGACAATCTTCTTCCGAGGAGCTGTAATCATCGACAATGAGTCGCTACGACTTGTTTTTGCCGTCTTTCCATGATCATGAGAATGTGCTTTCTGCAATGGAGCTTACTTCGAGTAGTACGCGACATGCTGCATTACGCATTACATACACGTAGAGTACGTGGCGCACACGAGCACCGCCTTCAAGGTAGAGCAGTAGTCCAGCACGCAGGCTTCCTGCGTCTGGCTGATCTACTGAAGGCCAGCATGATCGGTCCTATACGTTCTGCGCCGGTGCGAGTGCTCGTCGACGAAACTGCGATCGGCTGCGACCCAGGGATGACGTCAAGGTAACCCCGCGAGTCGCGTACCGGTATCGGCAAAAAAAAAAAGGTCTGCAGCTATCCGCCAAGAGCCTTAGGCAGAGTGCGCAGACCATCCTCGGGCGACCACAGGCTCCGGGAGCGGTGATAGGAATGGTGTTGAAAAACCAACGTTGCACCACCGTTCAGGTCCGTCTTAAGATACCGCCCCTTGTCGCTGTGCTCCCGGCGCGGGTGGCCATCGAGGTCGTCCCGCGCCTTGTGGCCGGGATCCCACTGGTGGCGGATGCCGCACCGCGCGCATTAGCCGCGGGTGCTACATCGGCACGTCAGGAAACCGGGCGATATGCTTGATATGCTTTAAGGGAACGTACCTCCTCGCGCAGTTCCACGTAATCCCCGCATCGACGCTCGGGTGCCCCGCACACCTCTGACCCCGCTGCCTCTGCTCGCGGTCTTTGCGGCCTCAGCCTTCTCCCGCTCCAGACGTTCCCGCGTCTCCCTTTCCTCGCGTTCCCGCTGTTCTCGTTCTAGCCGCTCACGTTCGCGCTGCGCGGCGAGCTGACGTTCCTCCTCTTCCCGACGCGCGCGCTCGCGCTCTTCCTCCTCCTCCCGTAGGAGCTGCTCCTCGTCCTACAGCACATTAGGATCAATATCGAGAGGAATGGGGCGGGAGTAAACACATACTGCTTCAGCACCTTGCCATCGTTCGTCGAGGATCAGCTTGGTGATCTTCTCTGATCCCGACAGTATACGGACATACTTGTCCAGCAGGGCGTTCGTGTGTCCAAGTCGTTCTGCTACCCTCTGGGGCGCGGTACAAGAGGCGTGCATGAGAAATTCAGGAAAAGATATAAGGTTCAGCATGAACGGAGTGCACTCACATCCGTACTCGACTTTGTCTCACGTAGGGCATCCTTGTATACCTCAAAGGCGGAGTTGAGCTTCTTGAGCACAAACAGGTCGTGCTGGAGCTTCTCTTCGCGCGTCTTTGCCGCGACCTTCCTCGCCTTCTCCACGTCCTCCTGGGTCATGGTCTCGTCCTGACCGCCTCCGCCCTCCTCTGTGTCCTCATCATCCGCTACGGCGCTCTCGTCTGGGGATGGTGGTTGCGCAAGGAGGCTAAACGGCCGGCGCCGCGCCGACCTAGACTGTGGTCGATCGGAGAGGGAGAGCTCGGATAGGGAGAGATCGTCGCCGCCGTGTCCGGTACGCGATGAACTTGAGCTGATGTCGGGTGTGGGCTCAGAGAGCAGTCGGGAGCCGCTCGCGGGCATGTCAACGTTGGACAAGTCGAATGAGTCCATAGCGTGGAATGAGGTCCGGAGGAGGAGGGGGAGCACGGTCGGGTAGTGGTTGCAGTCTGCAGAGCAGGAAACGCGCTCGCGTCTTCGTCCTCGCGATCACGTGGAAATTCACGCCCCTCGTCAGGCTTCCAAGTTGCCGCCTACGACTTGCACCACGACCACCTCGCCGCTCAGCCACTACAACTCGCCGTTCGCTCGCTCGGTCTGCAGCCAGTATCTTGACGTTACATGCTTAGCGACGGTCTGCTTCTATCACCGATCAATTCAATTCGTAATGCACACGACCGTGTCACACTCGTGTCGCCAAATGCATACAGACGGCATTCCGACGACTCGTCTCCTGATTCATGAGTGTCATTACGCTTAATGTTTGTCCCGTAAAGTGTCTCTATTCGAAATCTGAGCGTATTCACGCGTGCCCTCGTTCTTCGTGACCCGCGTCCGATATCGGGTGCTTCGACTTCGACTCCAGTTACCACAACTTCCTTTTACGACCAGTCCGAACTGTGCTTCTTGACGCACAGAACCCCCCTCAAGCCGAAGCGAGACCCAGCGCTACTGCGAAATGCTTGACCTTGACGGAGAACGGCCGTTATCGTGCGTCCGACACGTGAGCTACGTTCAGTGCGACCGTGCGCGTAGTCCGTCTGTGTATGTATCCCAGCAAGAAGCTACGTTCGGAATGTCGCCGTCACCGGACACCCCCATAAATTGGATTCATCTTACTGTCTCAGAGCTCCAATACACTGCTACTACACACCTGCTCCTGCAATCGACTCACGCTCAACAGACTCAATTACCTCGACATGCCTGGAATCACTGCTTTCCCCCCTTTCCCCGACAACGTCCCGACCCACCCGCTCCTTGTCATCGACTACGAGCTCATCAAGGCTTACGACAAGGACGAGATTGCACAGCTGTGGAAGGCCGCCACTGAGCTTGGCTTCTGGTAGTATGTATCTCCATGAGCATTTGCAGCATGGCTGGAGCCCCCCCCCCTGACCAATTTCCCCTGCAGTTTGAAGAACCACGGTGTGGACGAGGAGGTTCACAAGATGTTCGACATGGGCGCCGAGACGATGGACCTGCCGTTCCAGGAGAAGATGGAGTTCGAACGAAGGCGACG